GCGTGTCACTGTCATCCTTGCAAAGCTCTTCTCTCTGCAACATCTGCACAACACGAACAGCTTTAACTGATAACTAATATTAAAGCTGCAAAGTTCTCGAGTCGTCCGTCATTCTCAGGTTCTTCCTTCCAAAGGAAAACTTCAGGAAACCGAAGCATCAACATGATTTCACAGCTAAAGGGAGTAGACTAAAAGGTTAAAACACGTAGAGAAACTGGTGGATTGAAAGTGGTTCAACGTGAAAAGAGAACCACAAAAGGTTGCCATGGGCAGAGGAGTGGTTTGGGGTTGTGGGGGGTGCGTATGTGAGACATTGTTGTTGTTGTTGTTGTTGTGGGAAAGAATCCAGGACCTTTAAATGCTCCGAGCTTCCCTTCAAAAGGAGCTCCTGACACACAAGCGTTCATCTTACCATCCTCCAGAGTCCTGCAGCTTTTCACACAGACACCGACCATCACGGCAAGTCTGCTGACTTCTACACACACGTGCATGTGTTGCATTTATGTGTGTGTGCGTTTCTGCCCTGCACTTGCAGGAGGGCTGCTTTTCATAGATAATTTTGTATTTATATAGAAATGTATTTTTGTCTAGGTTTTCTCTAGATCTCTCTTTAATGAAAATTCCTATAAATCTGCAGTATTTGACTCAAATAACCAGTAAAGTACATTTTTGTTATTCTTATTGTAATGAATTGGCATGGCGTTGATGTCGTTTCTCCAGTTTGGTAGAACAGTTTAAAGATATGGACTGGTGACTGCAGCTTTACTTGCTGAAAAGTGGACGAGTAAGAAGAGCTTACTCTGAGTTTTCTCAGCGTCGGTCATGCTGCTGAAGCCGCTTCGGAGGGCGGGCAGAGGCCGCTGAGCATCTTAATCTGCCGTTTTAACCTTGGGGGATCAGATGCATCTTCCACGAATCTGAGGAACTTTTAGGAACTCAAACTAGCTGCAGTTCAACACCAAGAGTCTTATTTCAGTTCCAGGTTTTGGCCAGCAGCCTGTTTTCATGTCAAGCTTTTCTGAATTTTAACTCGTGTCCTGTTGTTGTTTTTACCTGCTTGTTACCGATCACTTTATTGTAATTTATTTAATGGACAGACAACAGGTGATGTTCATTACCAGGGTATGATGTTTATGGCTGTTAGCACAAAACACAACACAACAACGTGTGAGTGTATGTTTTGGAGGCAAACCCACCCAATATGGCCACCAAAGCTCAGCAACACAGCGATGACTGAACTCTTATCAGTGTCCCAGACGTTGAGTTAGCAAATGGCTCAGTTACTGAATCATCTAACTATCACAGCGAAGGTCGTTGGTGGTTTAACGTCCGGGAAACAACAGAGAATGTCTTGGCTGTTAGAAGCTAATCGTTAGCATTAGCAACTACACCACACAGCAGAACTCCTCCAGGCTTGTTATTTGTGGAGATAAAACATCAACATTGCAGAGCATACAGAGTCAGTGGTAGAGCTGTGTTGCTGTTAGCCAATCAGAGACGTCATGTCAGCTGCACCGGAGCTTTGTTTCCTCAGTACAAGTTATTCCTGCTAGAGACCGCTGTTGCTGCATTAAAAATATGAGTAAAGTTGACCTTTAAGGAATGCTGCACCTCTAGTTGTTTTACTGTCTTTAACATGAACGTGCATGAAAATTCACCCACTAATATCTTCTGATTCAGTTATTGGCCCACAGGAATCGTGCCTTTTCACGAGGCGGTTCATTGGATTATTGTTTTTACAAGTCACCTGAAACCTTCGATAGTTTTGTTATCTCTCTCTCAAACACACACACACACACACACACACACACACACACACACACACACACACACACACACACACACACACACACACCCACACACACACACACACACACACACACACACACTCTCACACTCACTCACTTACTCTCTCTCTCTCTCTCTCTCTCTCTCTCTCTCTCTCACACACACACACACACACACACACACACACACACACACACACACACACACACACACACACACACACACACACACTCATTTTCTCTCTCTCTCTCTCTCTCCCTCACATGCACTCATTCTCTCTCTCTCTCTCTCTCTCTCTCTCTCTCTCTCTCTCTCTCTCTCTCTCTCTCTCTCTCTCTCTCTCTCTCTCTCTCTCTCTCCACCAACAGTCCAGTTTATTTGGTCCTAATTCCAGCTCTGCTCTTGTGTATTTTGAAGTTCGGTGCTCGTTCATCACAGTCTCCCTGGAAGAGGATGAGACGCTCCCGCCAGCTTCAGTGAGACTGATGAATACTAACGGTTTCTCACATGAAATAAACTAAGCTCCAGGTGTGTGTGTGTGTGTGTGTGTGTGTGTGTGTGTGTGTGTGTGTGTGTGTGTGTGTGTGTGTGTGTGTGTGTGTGTGTGTGTGTTACTCTATATTACACATAAAGTTTTGTCTAACCAGCAACTTCAAGGCCGGAGGATGGAATTCACTCAGGAGCAAATCCAGCAACAGTACAGGAGACAGAAGGAGCTTGTTTGGGATCAAATGAGTCTCAACCTGTTTGTTTTTGGACACAACTCACCGCTCACATGCAGACATCAAGTATTTCCTTTCTTCCTCCGCTGCCTCGCCTCATCTCTCTTTACCTGGATTCATAATCTGTCAGCTTTATTTTCCCAGGATTAAATACTGTTTACCCTCCTTTCCCGCCATGTTTGAAGTGCAGGTTTGCTCCGCACAGAAAATCAGGGCAAATATTTTTCTCGACTTGTGTGTGTGTGTGTGTGTGTGTGTGTGTGTGTGTGTGTGTGTGTGGGGGGGGGGGGGGGGGGGGTCGGTGGATGTTTTCCTTGAGCTCTGTTAGCTCTTCTGTCTGTCATCCTGCAGAGTTCCTGCAGCAGCGCTGCTGGGACGGCTGTAAACAGACTTTATGTTTGTCATTGTCAGAACGGAGAGCTTGAACAGATGTGCTGACATCAGCATCTCTGACTGCTGTTCGCTCCCAAGTTGTTGAGATTTTTAAAAGTTGTTTTGAAGCTTTTTATCTGCATTCATTTTATTTTTATTTAGAACAATGACACAACATTAACTCTAACTACTAAAATGTGTTCTCACTGCTCCTGCACTAAGGCCAGTTTTGCATTTGTAGGTTTTAATTTACCGATAATCTCGTTTCCAGCGGCGCAATTTAGATGTCTTTTTACACACAATGGAGATCCCTTGGGACTGTTGAAGGAGAAGCTTCAAATCCAGGTCATGCATTGATGCAGAGTTTAAAGACAAGACATTTGATCTGCAGCCACAGCTTCTGCTGACTTCTGGTTTCGCTGTTTTCTGGAGTCTTCGGGAGAAATCTTTTCGCTGAAACTTTATAAAACAGGACTCTGCACCAGAGTCCTGTCATCAGGATGCTGAGGGTGACGGTTTGGTGCTCATCAATGTTCTGCTGAGGCCGTGATGATGAATGGTGAGCCGCATCCTGTTGTAGGACGATGTGAGAAAAGTAAAACAATTAAGCTGGATTAGAGACAGTAATCTGGACCGAGAAGGGACAAAACCAAACATCTGGGACACAATTAATATTTTATTTACATCTGCTGCCCTGCAGGGTTGTGAGACTCAGGAAGACCCAATTGACTCAGCAGCAGTTTTAAAAACGAGTGTTTGGTAAGTCGAGCAGCTCATTGTTTGTTTATAACAACAACAAAAGAGTCGCTCCCTTTGTAATAACAATAATACACACTTAATTATGATTCAGCTGTTTCATCCCGACCTCTCTCTCTTCCAGCGGAGTTTGTTCATCTGTCTCAAAACAGTCTTTGATTCAGTTGCTAAGCAACCACTGCCCCGTCTCCGTGCTGCTTACAGCACCCAGAACCCAGAAATAAATGTACACATGTACGGCACACTGATGCTGATACTTCTGGATAATGCTGAAAGGTGAACTGTGGTGGAATTTTTCATCCATAATTTTTAACTTTGAGTAAATTTTTACCCCATTGAGTTTCATTTAAGGGAGTAAAGGAGGGCAATAGTCACACTGAAAACGTATACAATAATACCATTAAAAATAATTATTATGAGTGATAAAACTCATAGTTGTGAAAAGCAGTGTGTGGATTAATGAAACTTGGCTTTTGCTACCTTTTTAAAAATTGTGTGTGGATCAGATTTGTTTATTTTCATGTAAAACCCTGGAGGTAATGCATTTATCCCTGCAGTTGTGTTTTGAGCCCTCAAAATGTTTTTGTTTGGTTAAAAATGCTAAAAAATGAACAAACAGATGCAATAGATATAAAAAAACACATTTTGTTCATCGCATTTACCTTTTGTGGGCTTAAGGCAGTTGAGCATTTCAAACATAGATTTTGTTTGCCAAATCTTCTAATTTGCGAAAGCATAATTATTATGAAATAGGTTCCAGTCACGATGTAGCCTCAAACAATAAATACCTCTGGGTTATTCTAGTGAACTGCCTGACGTTTTACAAATAAGTCATCCTTGTGTTCATAAATAATTTTTTGATCCATCCGATGATAATTAAATATTTTGATGTGTCAATAAACACAAAATGTGAGTTTTTATGTATTTTATCTCTAATTTCTAATTAATCATAATAATAAAAATTACAATTAATTTATTAAAAAATCAGCTGTTGGCGCGCGCCACTAGAGACACGCTCATCTTCGTCAGGTGCAAAAGAGATTGCGTTAAAAAGCATATGTCACTTCCTGTAATGACTTTCAAAATAATAACTTGGGCACTTGTTTTTACGTTTCAAATGTTGCACACGCTAATAAATAACAAATATTTTGAAGTTCATTTCATTTTCATTGTCATGTGATGCTAAACATGTCGCGCTGTGTCTGCTACCGAGCGATATTCCTCCCCCCATTTTCTCCCCGTGCTTTTATTTTAAAATCGCATCCGCAAGTTTCCGGTTTCGCATCACTACAGTTCCGGCAGCTCGACGCGGCGGCGCTGTCGTCCAGCCCTTAGCATTAGAAAATAAAAGGCTAAACCCAGAGTAAATTAGCCCCGTTGGCGTCGTTGCTCAGGAAGATGGTGGCTAAGCAGAGAATCCGCATGGCCAACGAGAAACACAGCAAGAACATCACGCAGCGAGGAAACGTAGCCAAGACGCTGGTGAGACGTTCGCTGACAGCCAGATGCCAGCATGACATTAGCCCGGATGGGTGACGTCCAGCCCGGTATCCGCGCTGATGATGATGATGATGATGATGATGGTGCTGGAGGTGGTGATGTTGCCAGCTGTGGTTATGCTTTTTTATATTTCTCACTTAGAGCATGCCTCGCGACCATTAAACACACATCTGGACTGATGTTCACATCCAAACGTGATTTATTCATCCCGTTCTGCTCGTTACCGCCCTCCTCCGCAGTGTAACTTCTCGTTACTTTCCCTAAAATGCACAGATTGTGTTAAAGGATTAAAAATAACCCAGATATCTGCTCCCAGAAAACAATTACCAAATTAAGAGTTTTTGCATTTGCAGCATACATTCAGGAGGTGGATCCTAAATGTTAGGGTACTTTGAGTTTTCTGAGGCATAATTAATTTATCTGACATTTTATAATGAAATCTGGGCGTCATCCCGGAACTCCTGTCCCTTTAAGCTTTGATCAGAGTCACTCAGAAGTGTCTTTTTGTTCCCCACCCACCCCGTCTTACTCCAGCTTTGTTTACATGGTCAGTGACTGTAGAAGCTTCCCCCGCAAACGTGTTACATAACCAAACAGGTGACTTCATCATGACGCCCGTCCTTTAACACAACGGTGGTGGAAGCTCAGTGGCAATTCTGTTTTTGAAGAGTTGCAGCTTCTTCTTTGGAAAATCACAATTCAGGATGTGCTTGAGCAGAAAAAGTGTCCAAGGGGCGGCAGCGTGAATGCAGCAGGGTTCGTTTTGCTTTGCATCCGTCACACTAATGTGCAGCGTGTGTGTTTTTGTGTTTCCCAAGCGGCCGCAAGAGGAGAAGTACCCTGTGGGTCCCTGGTTGCTCGCCCTGTTTGTATTTGTTGTGTGTGGATCAGGTAAATCTGAGTGATTAAAAAAAAACATTCTACCTCCCTGGACTGAGTCTGACCCGCTGGTTTGTGCGCTCTCAGCCATATTTCAGATCATCCAGAGCATCCGTATGGGGATGTGACTCAGAGGGAAGCTCTGGAACCCCGTCCTCATGCCCTCGCTGAGCCTGTTGGCCCGCGCCTGCACACTCAACCTCCCCCCCTCCTCCAGAGACGGATGCCAGACTGAGAGAGACGCTCGCCCCGACTGATCCCTGCCCTTGGTCAGCGTTCACAGTGCGGTCTGTGGTTCTTGCAGCTTTTCTACGGACAGTCTAAACCTACGCCGGCTGGAGAACATGTGTTTCATTAACTGCTTTGGCACCTGTGTGTTTGTGCATTACAGCGTGAGTGAGCTGGCAGGGATTCCTGCGAACAATGTGCCATATTTCTTCATGTAACTGTTGGTGTTGTGTTCCAAGAATGTTTTTTCTAATAAATGTTGAGCAATTACTCTAAATTCTGCTGACTGCCCACACGCCAAACTCTTCACCAGCACACGCGTGAAGACTGGATTAGACATGAAACAGAATTAGAGCTACTAGCGACTAGCACACCTGGGAAATTCATCGTTTCTACCAAAGCGTGTCCAACTCTGCTATGATCAGTGATGGAATGTAACAAAGTCCGAAGGTGTGGAATACTCGTTTCATCAATGCATTTGCAGTGGTTGTCCTTTTTGGGGGGGCTAAAAAACACTGATGCACTACTACCAGGAACTAGAAGTGAGCCACATCACAGGCGAGCTTCAGACGGCAGGTTTTGGAGTCTTATTTCCTGATATTTGGTCATCCTGCCTCTGATTGGCTATCAGCAATGCGACTCTACCACTGACTTGCAGAGTGGATGTTTTATCTCCACAATAACACTGAAAACAATGTGCCATTATCCTATACCTGTAATCACTGGCTTTAGAGGAAGGTCACACACAGCAAACCGCTTTCGCAACCTTCAAAGCCTCCGCTCGCTAAAACCAACCCCCCCCCCCCCCCCCCCCTTCCCGAAGACACCCACCTGTCTATGGGACTGTGGAACTGCCAATCATCTGTAAACAAAGCTGACTTCATTACTGCATATGCAAACCACCTGTCACTCGATGCACTGGCTCTCACTGAGACCTGGATCAAACCATGTGACAATGCTGCCCCATCTGCTCTCTCAGTTAACCACACTTTCTCCCACACTTCTCGTGCATCTGGCCGAGGTGGTGGAACGGGCATGTTAATTTCAGACAAATGGATATACAGTCAGTTGCTACCCATCACTAAACACAACTCCTTTGTATACCGTGCCATCCAGGTAACTGTACCGGAAAAATTATTGTTGGTTGTCATATATCGCCAACCAGGTCAACTCGGAGACATTCCTGATGAACTCGACACCCTGCTCTCCTACATTCCTGAGCACGACTGTCCCACAATGGTCCTTGGAGACATGAATATTCACCTGGACAATCCCAGCTCATCAGGCTTCCTGTCACTAATGTCATCATTTGATCTAAAACTAGTACAAAGTCCTCCAACTCACAAAGCTGGAAAAGCACTTGACCTCATTTTCACCAGAAACTTTGCCATAGACACAATCTCGGTCACATCGCTGCATCTTTCCGATCATTACTTCATCCATTTCAGCACGACTCTACAAGGGAGGTCCCCTGCTTCCTCCCCAGTGGTCTCATTCCACCGCAACCTCCACAATCTGGCACCCAACCACTTCTCCTCTCTTGTTGCCTCCACTCTTCCATCTCCCAGCACATTCTCTGCTTATGAAGTGAATGATGCCACCGAGTCACTCTGCTCCACACTGCTCTTGTCTTAACAACTTGTGCCCTTTAGACACTAGACCTGCTAGATCCTCTCAGTCGCACCCTTGGCTAAATGATACCCTCCGGTCTCTACGCACCAATCTTAGAGCTGCGGAACGGAAATGTTAAATGATAATGATAAATGACCCGCACTTGTATAGCGCCTCTCAGAGTAAGGACTCCAAAGCGCTTTACACTACAGTGTATCATTCATCCATTCACACACTGGTGGTGATGAGCTACGACGTAGCCACAGCTGCCCTGGGGCACACTGACGGAGGCGAGGCTGCCGAGCACAGGCACCACCGGTCCCTCCGACCACCACCAGCAGGCAAGGTGGGTTAAGTGTCTTGCCCAAGGACACAACAGCAGAATTCTCTGTCCGGAGCCGGGATCGAACCTGCAACCTTCCGATTACTGGACAACCCGCTCAACCTGTTGAGCTACTGCTGCCCCAACAAATGGTGCAAAACAAAAGATCCTGGTGATCAATTGAAATTTCATGAATTACTGTCCTCATTCTCTGCCAGCATCACTGATGCAAAGAAAGCTTTCTACACTGACAAAATTCTCAGTTCTACTGACTCTCAGAAACTATTTTCAACATTCAAAACTCTGCTCGCCCCTTGTCACGGCTGCCAGCCTGAAGAGGGAAAAAGCAGCCAGGATCACCCAGCTCTGGTGATTGACTGGACTGGACCCCCTCCTCCTCCTCTCTTCCAGGCTGCTGAGGAGCACAGCTGAGCTGAATCCTCCTGATGAGCCACACCTGGGATAAAAAGGCTGTGCCTTCAGCAGTCTGAGAGGCAGCAGTGCAGGGGTTCTGCTGTCCTCCAGGCCTCATTTTGTTTTCAACCCCTTCGAGTAGAAGAGTTTAAACTTTTATAGTTTTAACTCTGAGTGATCCAGAGGGATCATTTTAAGGGTTAACTCTGTGATACAATTTTATTGACTTTGGTTTTAAAACACCTTCTGTTCCGGTAAAACTTTTAACATGAGTTTTAACCAGGTGTTTTATGTCATGGAATTGTTTTAGAACTTTTATCAACTTTGTGGATTTAGAAACACCTTCTGTTTTGGTGAAACTTTTAATAAAACCAGGTGTTTTTAATGTTGGTAACTGCTCTTTTAATGTTAACCTTTTTGAGAGTATTTTTGTTTAGCATTATCTTAATAATACTTGCCATCTGTTTGCTTGTGTTTTTAATACCTTTTTGTACAAATAAACCCATTTTAAACTCCTCCGCCAGTTTTTATGTTATCCCCATCCTTCACATTTTACCATCTCATGTCGGGGACGTAACATAAATGGGGGCTCGTCCGGGATTTTTTATTTTAACAGCAGACCGCGAAGGAATGTACAATCCCTGGTGGTGGTATTTTAATGGTGTTTTATTTGTTTCAAGGTTTTAAACAACAGATGGCTTTGTGGATGACTGGCGGGTGCTTCTGGAGGCCCAGCTCCCACTGGAGGATCCACTGCTGGATGGGCTCTCAGAATCTTCGAGCCTGATCCAGCCCAAGGAGAGGAGGATAAAAGACGTGGATCCAGAGATGACCCCCACAGGCAGGCTCAGGTGTTGCACCTAGCGGGTTATAGCGTTTGTGTTTACTCCACCATCTCGGGAGCACCCCCAGGAAGGGCAGGGGCTAAACCCCCTCCCTTTGCTGGTCAGAATGTGCAACAGCACATGTGCTTAATCTGCCCGCCAGCGAAGTGCATGAAGAGTAGGGAGTAGATAGCCTGTTTTTATTGTTTTATCGGGGGTCTCTCTTGTTTTGATGTGATCCTCGCTTTTAAAGAAAATGTTTTAAAAGTTACTATTATGTCCTGTACTAACTTTTATCCTTTTTCTTTCGTTTATGTGTGGGGGTGTCACGGCTGCCAGCCTGAAGAGGGATAAAGCAGCCAGGATCACCCAGCTCTGGTGATGGACTGGACTGGACCCCCTCCTCCTCCTCTCTTCCAGGCTGCTGAGGAGCACAGCTGAGCTGAATCCTCCTGATGAGCCACACCTGGGATAAAAAGGCTGTGCCTTCAACAGTCTGAGAGGCAGCAGTGTAGGGTTCTGCTGTCCTCCATCAATCAGTGCATCTTGGCTTGGACAATCCTCTACCGTGCACCATCTTGCCACAGGAGTCCCCCAGGGCTCTGTACTAGGACCTCTTCTCTTTGCCATATACACCACCTCACTGGGTGAGATCATTCGATCACATGGCTTCTCCTACCACTGCTATGCAGACGACACCCAGCTCTGTCAGTCATTTCCACCGAACAACCACACTGTCTCTGCACGAATATCAAACTGTCTCTCTGACATATCAAAATGGATGAAATCCCACCATCTCCAACTCAACCTCTCTAAAACTGAACTACTTGTCATCCCAGCAAAACCATCCATACAGCACAATATCTCAATCCAAAATGACTTCCTTTCTCTGGCTCCTTCAAAGGCAGTTCGAAATCTGGGTGTTGTGATTGATGAACACCTGACCTTTAAAGATCATGTTGCCTCTGTTGCTCTTTCATGCTGCTTTGCGCTATATAACATACAAAAGATCAGACCATACCTAACACAACATGCCACCCAGCTCCTGGTGCAATCTACTGTCATCTCCCGCCTTGATTACTGCAATGCCCTTCTAACTGGTCTTCCAGCCTGGACTGTGAGACCTCTTCAAATGGTCCAGAACGCAGCAGCGCGTCTGGTCTTCAATCAGCCAAAAAGAGCACACGTCACCCCTCTGTTCATTGAGCTCCACTGGCTACCGCTAGCTGCACGCATCAAATTCAAATAGCTAACATTAGCATACAAAGTCCGAGATGGTATGGCTCCCATCTACCTGATTCCTCTTGCAAAGGCTTACGTCTCGGCCTGGCCGCTCCGGTCATCACAGGATCGTCGGCTAGCAGTACCTACACCACGCTCAGGACAATCCAGACTCTTCTCATGCATCGTCCCACAAATGTGGAATGACTTACCAAGCACTAGAAGAACAAGGGCTTCCTTTCTGACATTCAAGAAACTCCTGAAGACCCTGCTCTTCAGAGAGCATCTTCTAAACTAGCACCCTCACTGCACCCGTCCCCCTCTCTACTGTCCTCTCCTTGTTCCCTCCTCTCCATGATTCATCATGCTGCCTCACTGCCACCTACGACTGACTGGAAATTGTTTGTTGTTGCTATTGTTGGCCTCAAGGGCAACATGCCGATTATCACTTGTAAGTCGCTTTGGACAAAAGCATCTGCTAAATACATAAACATAACAAGCCTGGAAGAATTCTGCTGTGTGGTGGAGCTGCTAATGCTAACGGTTAGCTTCTACTAGCCAATATGTTCTCTGCTGTCTCCTAGACGCTAAACCAACAACAGCCTTCCCCGTCGTGAGTCGAGATGGGTGAATTCATGAAAGTGAAGTGACAGTGTGGCGTAGATCTGTCAGGATTTTTTGATCCTAGAGTTTCAGTCTGTTTTCTATCAGAAGCTAATGCAGGAGATAGGTGTAGGAGACTATTTTCATGCTTAGCCTGCATGAAAAACTCAGACTCTTATTATAATCAGAAATATTCATTAAAAATGTTTTTCAGTGTTCCGCACCTTTAATTAGCGTTTTGTCCGACCCCAACCCGGCCCCTGGTCTGATGGAGATCGGTAGCATATGCCGGACTGGAGTTCCAAAGGTAATACTACTTTAATTTGCGTTTTGCCCCTTCCCCCGGTCCGATAGCACACTGCTTTCATATTTGATTTTTTAACAGTCTGTGTTATATTCTTTGATTGTGACGGCTCTTCTTAGCATTAAATTTACTGTTTGGTGTCTGCTTTTGCGTCACCCTCTTTTGTGTTTCAGGACTTTGGTCAGCTGACGTGCTGTTTTTAAATGTGCTCTACCAATAAATATGGAATCAGCCAACCGCTTTCCACAGGTGAACTGTGCTTGTCTTTTATTTATCATGAAAAAGTTTATTTACTGAGTTTATTCAGTTACTTCTGGGGTTTTTGTATAAATATAGTAACTTTTCTTCCAAAAACCTAATTTTGATTTTTAGTAAGGGGCAAATTCTGCCTGCCAAAAACTGCAGGCCCCCCACTCCACATCAACTCAGATTTTGGGTGTGAATCATCTGTCCCCATCCTCACAGCCCTGCTCTCACCTCCATTTTTGTATTTTTTGGGTGTGAGGAGATGATCCAGGCCAAGATGGCAGTGGTGGAAACCGCCTACAAATCAGCTCTTCAGACGGGTGGTGACCTGTAAGGTTTGTCATATATGTAATAGGTTTTTTTTAATATCTAGCACACATATACTTTAAAATGTCTTTGTTGTGTTTTAATACATAAACATAAGTGGCAAAAACCTGATCACAAATCATCTCCAAACCATGACAGTCCCACCTTCGTGCTTCAAAGTTCTCCAATTGTTCTAATAAACACCTCAGTTCTGCACCACTTAGATTTTTCTGGAACATAATACACCAAAAGGCCCACTCTTTGCCTTTGACTAAAACAAATTGCAGTTTAGGAGTACTTTAGTGCCTCTTTTAACACAGGGTATCTGTAAGTTTACGGGAGCCAAATTGAAGACGTTTTAATACCTTTTTAAGGCCACTTTGACCAAATTTAAGCTTTTTTTAATTGAATTTAAGCTATAATTTCCAGCTATTGCCTGGAACTGGTGCTAACCACGTCACGAACAAGGGATTAACCATCCAGTTACCATTAAACTTGCACTTCCCCATGGCACAAGCTCCCACTAGCTTAACCAGATATTATGCTCATCTAAAAATAGCCCCCGTTCACAACCAACTGAATGTGTATGGTTCCAATTTTGCCAATATCCTACACAAAAAGGCTGAACACTAACTAGAAATTCACAAAAATTTTATAGAAATTAAAGAATTTTGTTTATCGGGTCTTTAATTATTTAAGACCTTTGGAAACTGTATTTAAGGATTATTTGTAATTTTTAAGGATTTTTAAGGCTTTAAATTTGGAAAAGCAAATTTAAGACTTTTTAAGGACCTGAGGTTAGCCCGTAACAACAAAAAGACTAAATGTTAATGGGCTGCACAACACTTAAAATAACCATCATGACCAGTTTTATTTTATTGTTAAGCGTGTTTATTGAAAGTTGTGAAGTGCAGCTGTCAAGTGCAATTGTAGGTATTTATCTCGTCCGTCTTTAAGGAAACATGCACAAACATGAGCATACAACTAATACACTGAATTGAAAAGAAAACCTCTTCAGTTTTTTTTTGTTCATAGCATTTTCAGATCTAAAAGGTATTTACTGTCAAAAATAAGAAAGGTGCATTGCTTCAGAAAGAAAGGGAAAAAACAAAGCAATGTGACGTGTTTACAGCCAGAGTTAAAGTAGCAGTAACGTAGCAGGACAACGTTGTTGGTTGTGTGTTGTCAGTTAAATAACCGAGCCTCTTTTCCACCCAGTCCTGGAAATACAGCATTAAAGATAGATGACACAGAGCGAGCAAGACCAGTGTTGCTCATCTGAATCAATCTGTGTGACCTAGATAGCATCCGTTTTTCCTTCTGTCCTCCTATTTTACATCATAGTTACACTATACATACATGTACATCCTCTTTTGCCCCTGGAGGACAAAAATGCAGCGTAGCTCTGCGTCTCAACCCCACCAGACGAGCTTAAGCCGACATCCCACTGCAGGGTTGAGTCGGCTACGAGGGCAAAATGATGAGCTTGAAAGTGAAATACTGAAAATAGATCATCTCCATAAGAAACCTTGTTTAGTTCATCCCACCAACCAACATCAGTGTTGACAAGTTTAACTAAACCCCCACCCCCCCATTCCAGATGGGGACTCTGACATGATAACTGCTCACATTCTTCATCGGTCACTTCAAGAAGACTTTCCTCTGGTAACGTTTCGGATCTAGCCTCGGTACAGAACCGCTTTTATTTACAATATTCAGCAAAACAAGTAACAGCCAAGACCATCGTCCTCCTCCTACTGCTTCATCGTCAGTATGTCACCTAAATCCAGGCACAGAGATTTTATTCTTATTCTATAGCTAGGTATGTTGATGCCACTGACAAGCGGTTTGTGTTTTCTTGGTAAGACATTCTTGTTGATGACTGAGGGTTATTTGGCAAATGTGTAATGATTTATCTTCTGAAAACAACCCCCACCTCCCTTACAGCATCTTAAGATTGTCACTCATCACCGTGCCGAGGAGCACGGCACCGCTTGTCCTGCTGGCTGCATCCTTCAGAGATAAATATGTGCAAAATCTTCTCTTGACAGCGTAACCTTCTGCTGTAGAAGGCCAGGTTGGGCTCTGCAGCTGGAGCAGAGCTCAGAATCTAAGTCAAGTCAGTCTGAGCAGACCAGGCTACGCTGAGGGGCCGGAGCTGTGCGAGGAGGGCTGGCTGAGGGTGGCGGCGCTCGGGGGTCCTGTCGGGGCGGCTGTCTGTTGGGCAGGTGGAGAGCCAGTCTGAACCTGGGCCTGGAACTGGGCCATCTGCTCCGGGCTGGCCAGTGTCTTCAGCAGCGTGTTCTCCTGCTCCAGCTGGGAGTTTCGCTCTATCAGCTCCTTGATCTGCTCCTTTAGGACCTCCACCTCCTCTCGAACGGCGTACATCAGGTGGCTCTTCACCAAGTCCTGAAGCAAAGAAAGATCAAATGTAGTGAACACTTGGAACACACACGATGTCCTAACCCTTCATAAAAATTAATCCTAAGAGATTATTATGTCTGAGAAGCTGTTGTGACATGAGCATATTTAGCAGAATATTAAATTTTTCCATTCAAATTTAATTTAAAGTCCAGTCCAATGAAACAAAACTGAATATTAATACAACAATGCCATTTTTGTTAAGTGAAACCAGAATCGTTGGATGCTCATTAAGACATGGGCAGAACCATATCCTTACATGTTAATATAACTTTAATCTAATCCAGGAATAACAGAATCAACTAATAACAAAAGAAAGATAACCTGGGAGAAACATTCCCATGGTGCTACGTCATCAACCAGCCCATTTCAGGCCTAGACCAATCAGAGGCCGAGATATTTATACCTAGGGCTGAGTCTTCAAGTTTGCCTAGCAACAGCCTTGACAACGGACCAATTCTTTAATTAAAAATGCCTTTAATGTAGATTCTAGCGTGTTATCCCACACGTGACGTAAGGCATGTATTATTGTCATCAACAAGGAGAAAACCTGTCATTAATGGACGGATGCTGCAGACGGTCATAATTAGGTTTGACATGATTAAAACACGTGTTTTATTACAACTGACGCTTTTGTGTAATGGTGTAACAGCTTCTCACCAGAGAACATGTTTTATTTCATCTGAAACGCTGCATCTGCATTAATAAACCGCAGCAAACCTCCGTTTAGTGGTCAGAACTCACCATCGCCTGTTCGATCTTGTTGTCTATGGCCACCACGCTGGCTCCCGACGAGCTGCAAGAGAAGAGAGCGGAGTTAATCCCTGGGATGTGAGCTGCAGCAGAGACGGCACAAGGCTCTCCAACAGTAATGTGGGTCGCGTCTGGAAAACTCGCTGCCTGCTTTGGGTGTGAGGCTGGTGTAGGTGAAGGGAGCGGAGCCTCGAACACAAAAGCAGCTTTTTTTTTTACCTATTGTCCAGCTGCACGCGCGAGCTCTCCGCGCTCAGCAGCGACGACAGGAACGAGATGGAGACGTTTCTCAGCTGGCAGACGCCTAGATCCATGGCCACTGAGTAGCACGACGCGTTCATGCTGCTCATGTTGTACAGCCTCGAGACGAGTCCACCTCCGCGCGACCAGCTCCGCGAGACACATCCGAGAGGCACGCGCCGCTCCGTGTTCCTAACGCGCTCCGGCACCGACGCAGTCCAAGGTCAGCTCATCGCAGCGGGACACAAAGGGCTGCAGCTTTCCACGATCCCGCATAATTTATCCAGCGACACTCGGAGGGGCTGGACGCTGATTGGTCCACGCGGAGGCTGACTGACTGAAACGTTCAGGACCGCCCCCCACCTGCCGACCAGCTGACGCTCTGCATCTTCCTGCAGAGGGGAAAAGGTAGATGGGAGGAACCAGGAAAGGACCGCTGCAACAAGATGGATTACTTATTGTTGCTTTGGTAACTATTAAGAGGATCTCAGTGTTACCTACAACCCGGAAGTTAAATTATTTTGATCTTTCGGAATGATCTGAGGTGTTTTTGTAACTCACCTCAGATCATTCAATGTTTTCCAAATGTTTTCCTCTAATTCCCAATTTTACATCTAAAATGCCCAAACTTAATATAGAAAATTCTGTCAAAATGAAGCATAAATAACACAAAAAGAAAATCAGTCATGACACTTGTGTGCATGTAGCGCCTCCATGTGGTTATTTATAAAACTGCACAGCAAACACGACCCATTTTGTAGAAGGGCATCTTTCTTTAAGGTTGTGCTCAAACAAACTCAACCTCAAACAATGTGTTTGGGAGAATTTCATCTAACAACACAAACCAACTCCTCCGCTGAAATTTCCACCTCAGGCATTCACAACACAACACTCAGCGTCCACGCATTCACGCAACCCTCCCTACGCTCCAAAGGACCATTTTCACACACTCTGTACACACCCCAAACCCTCCAACGACTCGTTCTTACTCCAAACACAATCAAATCCATACAATGCATAAGAATCCTTCAACATGTATGAGGGTGTGTGATGAACGTCGGGGGGAAAGGATGGACACATCTGTTGACGTTACGGAGTTGAGGCTGAGTTTGTGTGATAAGTACGGGTTTGGAAAGAGCTTCTCTAAATTTAAGCTCAGGACAAACCTTGTGTCTTAACAGCACAGTCCTGCATTTAGGAACGATGCTAAAATAAGAGGACAGAACACAGCTGATCTCTCTTGATCCAGTCTAACACCTAGGTAACATGCCTAAAAAGGAAGCTCTAAGCCTCTCATCTCTTCCGCTCTCGTCTTTGACGGGAAGACGTTTCAGCCAATTATCCACATCCAAGAAGCCGGGAGACCAACATGTGAAGTTTTAAAAGCTGAAGGCTAAGAAGCATAACTGGATGTCTTCTTCAGAAAGAACCTTCATAAATCTTTGATTGTAGTTGGAACATTGTCTACTCCCAGAAAGGTGTCCTAACCTGGCATGTGCTCGGTTTATTTTTACAACCCTGCATTAACGGACTCTTACTGATGGATCAGAATCAACACTGGTCCAGTGACCCACTGAGGCTGTTTGAGAAAAATGAGCCCAACTGTAATGATCCCAGTGCAGGCTGGAGCTGGTCTCTAACTCGTTCATTGCGGCGGTCCTTTAAACGCTTAAAGTTAGTCCAAAGGGCAACGGGACATGTCACTTTCATTTCCTACTTGTCTGAAGAAAATAACACCCATCCAGCGACCAACGTGACATGAGCCATCCTCACCAGAGAAGCCTTTAATGACTGAACTAAAATATCACCAGAGCAGTTTAGTGACCGTCTCAGGAAGCAGCAGTGTGGACCTCCTTTGGGACTGCCCTGCCTGCTTTGTTTTACCTTTTGAGATGCTGCTCCAGCTCCCAGAACAAAAGCTTCATGGCCATCTCGTCCAGGCCTCGCAGCTGCATTCCCTGCACTTTCATTGATGCTCCTCTCAGCTGGAACATACGGACTTCAGCGTAATGCAGCGCTCTGTGAAAGTCTTTGTTTGGTGTCAGTTAAAGCTCCCGGTCATTCTTTAGAGAACTGATCTGGGCCACGGTGATGTATGCACCAGCGAATTAAGCTGCATGTTGAACTAACCAAGTCCTCAGATGCATGTGTCCCTCATCCTTTCTCCGTGTCAACAGTTTGTGTTTGCATGTAGAGCTGAGCGAGCGCATCGCTGAACACAGTCGCTGCGCGGGTAGTGACGTGTGATCATGTGATGCTGGGAGTTACATAAACCATCAACTGAGATTAGCATGTGGCCCAGTGATTTCTCTGCTCCCACACAGCCAGGCCTCTGCAGACTCAGACGCTGTGCAGCTATCTGGTAAAGCTCCACTCTCAAAAGCAGCAGAGCCAGCGTTTGTTTAGACATTTAAAAACAAACATGCCTGTGTGACTTATGCTGGAGAAAAATGATGTACATCACCACAACTATGTCTAAGTAAAGAAAATAATTAATACAGGAGGTTGATTCTTAATTAAAGCAAAGCTTTTGCTTTCAAACTGGTTTCTGTGTCTTGAGCGACTTCATGTTGGACATAAATCTGTAGCCATCAGCTAGCTGGTCAGCTGGTCAATAGCCTTTAACAGTTTTGTGGTTCAGGTAGGAACACTAGTGGGAGGTTGCTACCTGCCTTAGGCCTGACGTGTCCTCCTCCGTCGGCTCCACACGGGGGAGATGCACACGCATGGACAAAGACGCTTTGCTCTCACACTTGTCCGTCACCGGGGGAGTGTTGCAAAGCAATTCCCCGCCAGGACAACAGAGGGCGTGGCGCTGGTCTGTGGTATCCTGCCTCCATTACACTCATGTATCCAGTACACAATAGTGTATTCACTATTGAGTTTGTGTATTTCAAATACTTTATAACACTGACAAAATTGTCCTTCACTCTCCTCCACCTCTAATCCGTGTCCTGGTGTTTTCCTCCACAAATACAACGTTTGCTCCATATCTTTGTTCTCCTTCATTCACGGGTGAATAAATGTCAATATTTTCAGACTTTTTCTGCAAGGCATTCTTCAATCTGCTCCGTGTCTGACGCTAAATATCTTTTAACTTTTTGATGGGGCAATAGCAGCGCTGTTGACAGATTTATAGGAAGTGGCGTCATGACCAATTACAAGCTTACAGTCTCTGTCACTTTCGACGGATGTTTAAAAATGTGGGCGTGTCTCCGTCACCCTCTGTGAGCCTGTCGGAGAGCCACTGTGCAGATGCACAATGGTGTTGCCTGTCTCCGTACCGATGCAGAAGTGTAAATCAGGCTTTAGAGCAATAGCTGTGCTGGTAGCTAATATGAACGCTAGCAGCTAGCTTTTTCAGTTTGCAAATCATCAATAAAAAAGCACAAGAAGAATTTTGCTTTTTTTTGGCATCATGGTGGAGTCTGAAAGTAAAAGTAAGAGTAATGTCTTTGGAGGAGAAGCAAAGAGCTAAATCAGGCTTCAAAATCACAGACTGATGGTGACCTGGCTTTGTTGCTACTGGACTTGTAAGTAATAACATTGTGGCTTATTAAGTATCACATGGCTCATGTTATTATTAGCTTGTTGTTAGCGCTAGTGCAACCTCCAAAAGAGCCAATTTTCACCTATATATTGACCAACATAACAACCTTTCATCTACAGCATAAATCCACTTTCTGTTTGGCCTTCCAGAACCAGAAGGTTCTGTTCAGCGCGAGCTGACATTCCATGAAGACAGAACATTCAAACATTCTCTCCCTAGATCCTACGCTCTCTGCATGAAAGCCAGATGTCAACATTCTTCACTCTGAACAAGTGAAGACTCCATGACTTGTACAACTCATAAGCTTACAATAATCATATGTGATGAATGAACAAGATATTTAAATGAAATGTTTGAATAACCTGTGCTTAAATCAATTAATGTAAAATGAATACCGTAAATCCTCTAATACAGGCCGGTATTCAATTAAAGGCCGGGTCTCCAATTTTGGCCGGTGTCGGAGTCAGCGGAGGTAAATAATGGCCGGTCTCTTATTGTGGCCGGATGGAATGTGGTATCAAGCAAGTACGAGCGTCCCAGCGGCAGGGTTATAGTCCCCAAATCAACCAGCAGGAGGCAGTAAGGGTTCGAAACAGACCTTTATTAGGCTTTTTCTTCAAGCTTTGTAACACTTCAGACATGATCCTCTATCACGCTCCTACCACACAGAGTCACGGTGTCAGTTAACCATGCTAATTCAACCCGCTCCACAGAACACACATCACCTTCCCTGTGGCTTACATAACACTCACACAACACGCAAATCAGCACATAGGAACTAGCAGAACGATAGGAAACACATATAACACAATACCCAGAATGCACCTGGCTTACAACCCCAGCCAGGTCATTACACTATCAAGTTCAAAGAGAACGTGCTGATTATGCTGCAGAACACTCTGGAGAGCAGCAGTAGGGGGTGTATGAACTACAGTAATCCCTCGTTTATCGCGGTAGATGCGTTCCAGACCTGGCCGCATTAGGTGAAAATCTGCGAAGTAGGGACTCCCAGCATGCCCCTCGCGGGGATTCCCTCCACGTCGCACCTACGTCACAAACCGCGGCTATAAACGGAAGTCGCCTTTCCAGCTCAGTCATCGTTTCTTCAGATTCACGATCAGAGTTTCCAACCTACCAATCAATCCAACGAACTATCAGCTCATAGTAAGTTATCTTACTTACTTCTGGAAAGCCCGGCATTTCCGTGTCACTTCGTTGATGCTCGAACGCTCGGGGGTTTCCTAGAGCAGCCGGCGTTTCACCGACGCTATCACTTCCGCGTCTGTGAAACCACGCTCCCTATTGAATTATCGTATGATCACATTCTCTGTGATCAGCAATGCGCTGTGCCAGACCGTAGGTACTGACACGCGATCGTTCATGTCGGTTCATTTCCTTTAATGTTTTCTGTCTTTTATTTGCGCCTGATGTGTATCGCTGCTGTGGAGCGGGGCGCATCAACTTGTCCTCCGACGCACAGATCACTGATGCGGCCGGCAAGCAGGGAGCGCTCCGCTGTTTTCGCGGTCGGTAGATCTGCGTCCTGAGCACGGTCACAGTAACAATCAGGTGTCGCCACCTCAAAAACTAATTTAACACGCGATCGTTCATGTCAGTTCATTTCCTTTAATGTTTTCTGTCTTTTATTTGCGCCTGATGCGTTTCGCTGCTGTGGAGCGGGGCGCTGCGGGCATCACCTTGTCCTCCGACGCACTGATCACTGATACGGCCGCCAAACTGCAAGCGCTCTGCTGTTTTTGCGGTCGGTAGATCTTTTAGAACTGCAGTTCAAAGGTAACTCATAAGGTGAATATATATGAACCCAGGTAGCAGCTTTTCTTTAGGATTGAGAGGAGATGCAGGAAGATAATAAACAGGCAGGACAGAAAAATAGTCAAATAAAAACAAGTTAGTTTTTGTACCTGGTGGTTGCAACAAACAGACACCATTGAAGGTAATCAGAAGTGAGGAACAGAAAATGAAATAATTATTTTAATGTTTAGAGCAGCAGGAACTCTGAGAGGCTGCAGGCGCATCAGTGAGTTTGCGGCCGCTGCGCAGGGGGAGGGGGGAGAGGGCTAAAGCAGGGGGAGGGGGGAGAGGGCTGAAGCAGGAACTACCGTTGTTAAAAGAAATGTGTTTAACTTTGAAAATGTGGGCGCAATTTTAATAGTCAAAAACTCCAGCGAACCATTAGTTCATTTTGCTCAAATAGAAATAGAGGCCTGCCTCTAATACTGGCCCTCCTTCCAATAAAGGCCTGGAGCTTGATGAGCTTGAGTCAAATACAGGCCCGGGCCTGTATTAGAGGATTTACGGTATTGTTCTTACAATGATCCATTTATATCACAAATCACTGTGTTTGATTTTAACAAGTTAATCATTGTTTACACTCATACACATTACATTAAGATACATATTAAAGTTAAAAACATCTTTGTATCTGCAAGAAGGCGTGGCTTTCTGAGGATGTTTTGGCAGACATGGCACATTCTGATTTGCCAGAATACGCCAGAAATGATAAATAATGAGTTTATTAAAACAAGACTTACAGTGGTGTGAAAAACTATTTGCCTTCTTCCTGATTTCTTATTCTTTTGCATGTTTGTCACACAAAATGTTTCTGATCATCAAACACATTTAACCGTTAGTCAAAGATAACACAAGTAAACACATAATGCAGTTTTGAAATGATGGTTTTTATTATTTAGGGAGAGAACAAAATCCAAACCTACATTGCCCTGTGTGAAAAAGTAATTGCCCCCTTGTTAAAAAATAACCCAACTGTGGTGTTTCACACCTGAGTTCAATTTCTGTGGCCACCCCCAAGCCTGATTACTGACACACCTGTTTCAATCAAGAAATCACTTAAACAGGAGCTGCCTGACACAGAGAAGTAGACCAAAAGCACCTCAAAAGCTAGACATCATGCCAAGATCCAAAGAAATTCAAGAACAAATGAGAACAAAAGTAAATGAGATCTATCAGTCTGGTAAAGGTTATAAAGCCATTTCTAAAGCTTTGGGACTCCAGCGAACCACAGTGAGAGCCATTATCCACAAATGGCAACAACATGGAACAGTGGTGAACCTTCCCAGGAGTGGGCGGCCGACCAAAATTACCCCAAGAGCGCAGAGACAACTCATCCGAGAGGTCACAAAAGACCCCAGGACAACTTCTAAAGAACTGCAGGCCTCACTTGCCTCAGTTAAGGTCAGTGTTCACGACTCCACCATAAGAAAGAGACTGGGCAAAAATGGCCTGCATGGCAGATTTCCAAGACACAAACCACTGTTAAGCAAAAAGAACATTAGGGCTCGTCTCAATTTTGCTAAGAAACATCTCAATGATTGCCAAGACTTTTGGGAAAATACCTCATGGACTGATGAGACAAAAGTTGAACTTTTGGAAGGCAAATGTCCCGTTCCATCTGGCGTAGAAGTAACACAGCATTTCAGACAAAGAACATCATACCAACAGTAAAATATGGTGGTGGTAGTGTGATGGTCTGGGGTTGCTGTGCTCCTTCAGGAACTGGAAGGCTTGCTGTGTTAAATGGAATCATGAATTCTACTGTCTACCAAAACATCCTGAAGGAGAACGTCCAGCCATCTGTTGGTCAACTAAAGCTGAAGCCATCTTGGGTGCTGCAGCAGGACAGTGACCCAAAACACACCAGCAAATCCACCTCTGAATGGCTGAAGAACAACAAAATGAAGACTTTGGAGTGGCCTAGTCAAAGTCCTGACCTGAATCCAATTGAGATGCTATGGCATGACCTTAAAAAGATGGTTCATGCTAGAAAACCCGCAAATAAAGCAGAATTACAACAATTCTGCAAAGATGAGTGGGCCAAAATTCCTCCAGAGCGCTGTAAAAGACTCGTAGCAAGTTATCGTAAACACTTGATTGCAGTTATTGCTGCTAAGGGAGGCCCAACCAGTTATTAGGTTCAGGGGGCAATTACTTTTTCACACAGGGCAATGTAGGTTTGGATTTTGTTCTCTCCCTAAATAATAAAAACCATCATTTCAACTCTACATTTTGTGCTTACTTGTGTTATCTTTGACTAATGGTTAAATGTGTTTGATGATCAGAAACATTTTGTGTGACAAACATGAAAAAGAATAAGAAATCAGGAAGGGGGCAAATAGTTTTCACACCACTGTAATTCCCGATTAATTCCGTTTCCGGCTGACTCCCGATTCGGCAAAATCTTTTGAAACAATCTGCTTTGACCTTAAGTCAAAACCTTTCTGCGACGCTGCAGGTGATGACAGACACAACAGCTCTTTTCAGGGCTACGTCACACCTAACCTGCAGACCCCGGGTTGCATCTCATGGCCGGGGAAGCTGAACTCAGAGGAAGCTACTAATCTCTGAGTATCGTGGTTTTGACGTCCGGTGACATCACCACTCTGAGTGCAACCCTCCGGACTGCCAGAAGCAACTCATACAAGGATATTATAAGTCTGCATACTGGTGTCTGATGAGGTTTTTATCAACAACTAACTCTCTAGTTTAAAACAAATAAACTCTTTTACACCCAGATTTCATAATTTCTCTCAGATACAAAGAACGGTTGCTACAACATCTAGCTTCCATCACAACACCTCACATCCACCACATCACATCTCATTATTCATATCTTGTCATGCATCATCAGTTTAGGAAAAATAATTAATTTTATAAACTGTATACTGACTGTCTGAATTAATACGAAGTGTGTTTATGGTCCCTGAATAAGTAAAGAACCATAGAATCTTCTTATTAAACATTCAAAGATCAGATTGATATTTCATATTTATATGGAATATCACATCTTATTGGTCATGATTAATATGTCTTAACTGCTACACTAGCTATGGCAGAGTTGTTTATCAAGAGCTGTAATTCCACTTTCAGCCAATAGGAGGGAGAAGTGGGGAAACAACATTTCTTGTTTTAGATGTTTTCAGTGACTCATGATTTTTCTTCCACACTCGTGCACTTATGTCCTGGCCTCTCTGACTGATGAGACTAAAGATCCACAAGAGCTTTATCCTGTCATTCCTCATTAAGATGCAGCGTTAACATGACTTAATGCCAGGAAAAACAGAAAACAGAACACGCACTCAGAGGGCCTCCCTGGCTTAAGAGACACCCGACCAAGAGACAACAGGTAGGACATGCTGAATCCAAAGGATTTCCCTTGTCCTAACAGACTGGGTGTGTTGGGGTGACTGGGAAGGACTGCATCGCGGCCTTTGTACAAAACTTCACTTCATCTGATGAAAGTTAAAACCAGAACCATTTACTATAGGCGTGCATACACTGTTTACAGGAGCTATACTCATTCTGTCTAAAGGATTTACATAAAACTGTGTTTGTCACAGCAGAACCAGAAGGGTTGAGCTCAAACAAGCAGCAATCATGCCTGTCATCCAGTTTACACAAATCCATCATCAAAGAGCAGTGGGAAGCTGCATCGTCTCACAAACCCCAACACAGAAAGCTTGTATTTGCTTGACCACTCATGGAGCATCACCTACAAAACTCAGCGATTCAGATTCAAGTACAACTCACCTAAAGGTCAGATCCAAAAGCTGTCGAGCACAATAAAAGTCAAAAGGGCTCTGTGGGTAATTATCCTGGGTTATTTCATACCATCATTGCTGTTTAAAGTTCCAGACCAACATGACAAAACTGAAATCTACTCAAAATCAGCTTCTCTAGAACTAAGCAATGACAAAGGAGCTGGCTGTAGGTCAGATATGTGTCTTTGAGGAAGATGTCTGTTCTGCAGGGCTTCTGGGGACATGCGGACCCTAAATGTTAATAAAGGGGGACTGGCATGTCCCAACGATGCAAAAAAAAAAAAAAAAGAGGCCTATTGAATTGTTGAATTGTAAAGGCTTTTGCCTGAGCTGTAGTTTGATAGTGGAAAGCACACAGAGACTTTACCAGTAAGCACTGGCAGCGTTTTTCCCCATAGTCACACCCTGACTATGGAGAATGACAGAGAGCTACTAGTGAGTCAGTCAGAGAGGCAGGGAGGAATGATGAGTAGCCATTTTGGCCTCCGTATGTAGCAGGGTGGGGAGCATTTGGGCTGACAGCAGCAAGTCTTCACTTTGGACTGTAGTCTCACAGAGAAGGAGGGAGGTGGTGAGAACTAAAAGTGCCACAAAGGCCTTGAAACATCGCCTTAGCGTTAGTACAGTGAGAGTCACTGAGTCATGGATGGTCGGAAAACGTAAAAGGAGCTAAATCAAACTTTTTTCCCAACTACTATTATATAAATTAGCTGGTTAAGAATAGAGATGTCCAGATAGCATTTTTTACCCTCGATCCAAGTCATCTTATTTTCTGCCGATACCGAGTCCCGATCCGATAATTCAGCAATCACTAAAACAAAATAAAAATGAATAAATAAATAAACACATCCAAGTCTTTTAAGTTTGTTTTATTAATATTATTTATGTATATTTGTCTTTCCATACTTATGTAACATATTAATTTATCTTGCAAAAACATCTTAAGGAAGTACGTTGATCACTAATGTGTTAATATTAGGAATATATTTAAAAGCTGCCTTGTCGCTCATGTTAAAAACGTTTATGTCCTCAGTATGCGGCTGGTTTGCATGACGAACGTTCCCGCGATGGCATCATCGCATCACCGCCGTAGGGTTGCGTCTGTACAGCTGTGATGAGGAGTAAACTCATATCGCGACTCCAGGAGACTGAGAAACCTGATGTATGCACCCAGTGAGAGATAAACAGTGCTATCTTAGCTGTTGTCATTTTGTTGTTTGTAGATAGTTTCTTTGTTTTTTAACACGTTTCTTGGAGTTGGCCGGCTCTGTGTTTTAAAGGTGCAGACTAGAACTAAACTCAGAGAAGTGATTGACTATGGCGACTAGGGCTGGACGATATGGCCTGAAATCAATATCATGATATACCTCGATGATGATGAATGGACGA